TAATTTTTATCAACTGCAAAATAAATTGTTTAATAAAACATGACTCCGTTGGAATTAAAAAAAAAAAAAAAAAAAATGTCTGTTCATTAATAGTCATTAACCATTATTCATTCTGCATTATGCACAATTGATAGAGAAGATTTAGGCAAGTCTTATTCATTAGGATTCATTGCAGCAATTTCATACTCAAAAACCTTTATTTTTTTTTAAATAAAAAAATTATGTATAAGTACATGAATTACTACCACAAAATAATCACCTAAATTATTTTTAATTTCGTTCATCAACATCTGTTCCGTTACGAAAAATCTCTCTTGAATATTAGTAATATCTCTTTTATCAAAACGACTTATTATGCTATCCCTAGTAATATCTTTTGTATAGAAAGTGAAGATATTAACATTTTGACATTTAGGAAAAATAATTCCAACGGTATTAGCAACATGGTAATAAGATCAAAAGGCATATTAAATAAATCAGATTATAATGATATATAAAATTTTTAAACTTCTGTATAAAAAAAAATCCGGTGTATTCAAAAAAAAAAACACACACACACATCATGAGAAATTTCTAAGATAACTAAAAAAAAAAACGAACGAATTATTTTATTAATCAATCGGTTCTGAAAAATAAATAAAAATATTTATTCAATTATTTACATATCAAGAAATACTTATCAATTTAATAAATCCATCAGTATAATTAATCAATGTAATTAATTGTTTTATAAATTGTATATTTATTTTTCAATATAATAAACATCTTGGAGTGAGGTTCAGTTGGTTCAAAAAAATCAGTATAATTAATCAGTAGTAAAGAAAGTAAACTTAAATTAAAATATTTTAGAAACCATATTTTTACTTTTTATAGCATTTGGGAACACAATCTTTATACATCAATTTATTGCCCGTTCCATTATTATTATTATCATTATCGTCATTATGACTGTTATGACTACTTTCTTCATCAATAATTATGGAATAAAACCATTACCTGGTTGAGAATAATAATCAGGTTCACGTCTCAACCTTTCCTTTCTCATCTTTTATTGGACTCAATGAAATTATTGCGCGATGAGCTTAAATCTCATTAACATATGATAATTCCAATTTAAATTATTCACTTTTAAAGTTCAATTGAGGTAAGAATCATCCATAAACCTCGTTACATCACTAGTAGCAGCTTCCTATAATTGCATTAAATAATTATATTGGAATATATGTCAATATTATAGCCCTCAAAACCTTTTTATTGATCTAGTGGGTAAATTCTCATACTAAGCAATCCAAACTAACCTTTAGCAACATAGAAAAGCATTTATGGATAAAAACATAAAAATAGATCGATGATCTGGTTTTGACTTTCGTCACCCCAAGAGATTTAATGATTGAGAAGATTCTTCCCGTCAGAATTGTAAATCAGTTAATTTTGTATTTGTTGAGATATTGCCGGAAAATTAATGGATGAATTTAGAAGATCGTTAAAAACTGCAAGCATAAACTTTACTGTAGATAATATTAATATGAATCGATTATTACATTTTTAGAAAAGAATGTAGCCTTTTCCAAATTCCTACTTATAAAATTAATGAAACTTCGAATTCAGACTTATACTCAAATATAACAATTTATCAAGATGTTGATAAATCTTCTACTTGATAATCATTATTCAAATTTTATCTCATCAGTAGAAGCTGTATTCTTTTGGACCAATGGACGATCGGATCAATTAGACAATGGAATTATCCTGCTTTAGATGTATTGAGCATACTTGGAAGTATAACGATAGTGTTAATTTTCCAAAATATGCTGATCGCGTTTATAAAGTAAGTATATTATTTATTATAAATTGGCCTTATAAAAATTCCGGCGCAGATCTTTAATTCTCATGATTTCTCTTCCATAGTGGTGGATTTGGTAAAGCAAATGAAGCATGTCGCACAGTAGCTTATAAACATCGTGCTAAACTTGTTGCTGAGTATGAAGCTTTAGAAAACCTTTTTGGTAACAAAAGAGGTCCTCGATATATTTATTATATACCTAATCCTGATATTATTGATACCTGGCTTAAGGAAACCAAAAAGGATGAGGAACAAGAATTACGTGCTGAATTGACAGATTTTGATTATAGCGATGACGACGACGATGACGATGACGACTATGACGATGATGATCATCACGGTGATAACTGATAATAATAAGAATTGCATATGAATTCTCTTCCAAAAATGTTTCTAATCCTAATTTATTTAAATTTAATTTTAGATGATTCAAAAAGATATCGACATATGCAAAATGAAAGTTCTTCAAGTACTATGGATTTAGATTCTATTGAACCTAGTAAAATTAAATATAATGATATAATTGATAGAATTTCATTTATTGATGACGAAATTTTTGTTTTTACTTCTAAATCGAACAAGGAATCCGAAGATCCCGGTCCAAAAAACGTTGATGATCAATTATCATCAATTCCAGAAAATTTTAATAGCCTGGAAAATGAATTTAAGGAATTTACGACGAAGTTTGACCAAAAGTTAGAAACTATAATGAATACTTTAAATAATTTAAAAATCCCAATTAGTTGTGTTAAGATTTGATGGAAATTGGACGATTATATATGTATATATCGGTATAAATAAAAAATGATATCTTGATGTAACGATTTGAGATTAAAATATTTATAAATAAAATCTATATTTTTATGACTTTAATTATAAGAAATTTTATAAAAACAATTATAAAATCCACACGATATTGACCTTGCAAAATTTTCTTTCATTAAATTAATTTCTATTAATTTTATCTTACTGTAATTATTTATCTTTATCTAAAAAAGAAAATCGGTGAAATTATTACTAATAAAAATTCAAATATTAAATCTATATTAGATCATTATGATTTGTTTTTAACCAAGACTCTAATTATTTATGTTAAAAGTACTTTATAATTTATAAAGTTATCGAGTAGAACTAACAATTATTACACATCTATTATTATATTTTGGGCTTATATCGTAAGTCATTTTTTTTTATTTACTTATAATATGTAAGAAATAAGTTTATATCAATGAAAATTGCTTTGATTTGAATGAGTAAATAATCAGATAAGATTTATTAGTTATTTATTATGATGTCAAGGCAATTTCGAAATTTTTTAAAGGAAAATTGGAAAAAAGTAAATGAAGTATTTTAATAAAAAAATAAAATAGCTTAATTGGCTTTGCAATAAAAATAAATTATTTTTATTTTCGTAATTTTTACTTTTCTTTTTTTTCTTTTTTTTTTTTTTTTTTTTTTTTTGTATTTTTCATTTTGTGTAATAAAATGAAAAATATCAATGCACAACTTTTGATCATACAAAAAATTTTGTCAATACTCAAACTTTATTATCTAAACAGCTAAGATTTATTTATCATATCTCTATACTCGAATTTTAAATAATTTGTCTATTTTTCATTTGATTTGATCTTCTTTAATATTATCATTCAATTATTTAATATTAAATTATTTATTATTAAATTATGAATTTTAGTGAAACGATTTAATAGACATAAATATATGAAAAAAAATAAAAATAAAAATTGTAAATTTTATCTTAATGCGAACAAAAATAAATCAATGGAAATAATGAATATATTATAAATAATAAATAACATTATAACAATAATGACAATACAAAAACAGTTATTAAATTCATGACATGTGATGTGAAAAATGAAAAGATCTATGCTGTATTTTTTGCAACCTCGTTTCATTCTGGAACAAGATCAACATGAAAACCTTCTTATATCCTTGATCTCTTAATTAATAATAAAATTAAATCAAAAAAATTTTCCTAAAACTATTTGGGATTATTTAAAGTTTCAATTGATTTTTTAAATTTTGATATATTTCATCAATTCTTGTCTTCAATTCTCACATTGATAATTGATTATCAATGTTTATAGTAGGAAATAAAGGTTTATTATATCTGTCATTCTTTAATAATTTGTTGCTTGATTTCCAATTTCGTTGTGATTCCTTGTTCAATTTAGAAATAACTTTTAACAGAAAATTTCTTCGTCAATAAATAAATTTTATCAATTATACCATTATATTTGTCTGTACTAGATTCATTAGAGTCTGAACCCATAGTACTTAAAGAGCCTTCATTTTTCATATATTAAATTTTTTTGAATAGGATAAATTTATAATAAAATTTAAATAGACTTAATTCATGTTAGGATTGAAAACGGTTCTACAAGAGAATTATTATCAGTTTTTACCTTGATTATCATCATCATCGCTATATTAAAAATTTGTTAATTCTGTTAATTCAGCTAAATTTCACCCATTAAACGTAATCTTTGTTCCTCTTTCTTTTTTGTTTTCTCAAGCCAATCATCAATCATATCAGGATCAGGTGTGTAATAAATGTATTGAGGATTACTTTTTATTCTAAATGATTTTTCTAAAGAGCAATACGTCCGATACGATTTCTATGAGCTGCTGTACGACCTTCTTTATTTGCTTTATCAAATGCACCACTATAGAATTAAGAGAAAATTATAATCCAAAAAATTTTTTACTTTTATAATGTGCATAATTTATGGTAATAATTAAAATAATATACTTGCTTCACAAATGCAATCAACATATTTTGGAAAATCAGCACCAATATTAAACTTTCTAATATTCTAATTATACTGTATCTACAGCAGGATAATACCATCAGTCTAATTGATCCCATCGCCCATTGATCTAAAAGAATACAGTTTCTACTGATGAGATGAAATTTGAATAATGATTTTCAAGTCGTGATGAACTATCAAAAATTTGATTAATAGTTATATTCGAGCATAAGTCTGGATTCGAAGAATCATTGATTCGATAAGTAGTATTTTGTAATTTTGAGTCTTCAAAATAATTAATTCTATTACATGTGAACCTGAAGATGATTATAATAACAAATGTAATTAAATAAATTAGTAATGTTTAAAATAACGGAAACAAAATTTATTTTAATTATTATTATTATTACTATAATCACATAGAGAGACCAAATGCAGTTATAATACTCAACATGAATGCAAAGAATGGCAACATGTTATTTAAAATACTTATAATGATATAAAAAAACGTCCTAGAACTTCGAAATATCTCAGTAGAAATAACTATAAATAACAATAATAATAATAACAATAAAATAATAATAACAAATTTGCTTTGTTCGTAAAGAGAGAGAGAAAAGACAAAAAAAGCTTACTACTTGAAATCATATAATTAAAAACAGAAACGCTAATACAGGAATAAATTGGAAGCTTGGCACGCGATTCCACTTGAATATAAAATCAATCTGTATAATTAATATTAACGGTAAAAAACAAGAATAAAAGATCAAACATATGTAAATATTCGTATATCGACGCCATCCTTCTCTTTTGAATAGCACAATCTCTGTGGCAATTACATAAGATCCAGTAAACAAATTTACGTTGGCGCAAATCATTATTTTAAGAATCGATACATTATTAATATTAATGAGTTATGTCATATTTATTATACTGTACATATAACAGATAACTATTAACATTATTCTTATTAGAACTATAAAAATCACATAACTACTCCAAATGCACCAATTAAAATCCCGAATATCTCTAAGATCATAATTATCGTTGAATTGATATATTTCTAATTAGAGATGTTGCAACTAAAATCTTTTAAAGTATAATACTTTACTGTTGAAGAGATTTGCTTGATAATTCATTGATAAATAAATCAAAATGAGAATTAATGATAAGACTGAGTGTAAAGTTATAACATTTTTATTTATTTATTTGAAAATAAATGTGATAAATATACAAATATTATAAAATTTAATAATTAATATTTGGCAATTCGTATTATGATCGATAATCATTGAAATTTTTTTTCAGATTTCCATCCCTTACTATAATAGTATATTTGTTGTTGTCGCTCTTGATGTTTTTTATTTTTTTCAACTTGAACTTGCATTTCTCCAAGCATCTTATTTATTTCTATTTTTTTTTTATGATAAAAAAGAAAAATAATATTATTATATGTTATGATTATATTATCATTAATAAATAACTATTAAATGATAATATTATTATATATTATGATTATATTATCATTAATAAATAACTATTAAATGTACATTACCATTTAGCTTTTCTTCTTCAGTATAATCAGACCTTGCCAATTTCAATACTGATGACTTCTCAATTTTCGATTTTAGTTCGCAACATCGTTCATCTTGTGTTAAAAGATTTTTCACTTCGGAATAATTGATATTTGATAATATATTAGTTTTTCTGTTAACTTCTGAATCACCAAAGATCGATAATACGAATTTAGCATCAATAATTAATGATGGTTTGATTGGAGATTCTTTTTGTTCCAAATTAATATCATTAATAACACTTTTCCCTTCTGAATTATTAAAATTTGAAAATATATTAATATTATTTTAACTTCTGAATCAACGAGCCTTGATAATTTAATTTTGGAATGACATACCAGTAATCGATGTTGGTTTGATAGATGTTGCTTCTTGTGTTAAAGTATTTGAATTCACTTCAGATTTCTCTTCTGTATTATTGACATTTGAAAATATATTAATATTAACTTCTGAATCACCAAAACTTGATAATAAAAATTTGGGTGTCGTACCGGTAATTAATGTTGTGTCAATAATCAATGTGGGTTCAATAGATGTTTCTTGTGAAAAATTATTAAGATTTATATCGCTTTCTCCTTCAATATCATTAGTATTGGGTGATAAATTAATGTTTCTGCCAATTTTGAATTTTTTTAGCTTGAAACGACGTAAAAAGTTTTTAGACGACGAGTTAGACGCCGCTCCAGCTGATTCTGGTTGCTGAGCTTGAAGATCTTCAGAATGAATCTTCGAAGAAGATCTTTTAAATAATTTTCCCATCTATAAAGAGGCCAAATTATACAAGATAATGTAAATAATTTTAGGGAAAATGGTATTAAATAGATACAAGATCATCAAAGAAAGCCAAAAGAAGCGAAATTGGTAAAAAAAAATCCATTTATAAAATTGAAATCTAAGATTTTTAAGTTTCATTAAATGACTTTACTTACAGAAAAGATCTTTCTTTCTCCAATTAATTTCATTTTTTAAGGAAGATTATAATGAAATAGTTCAAAAAAAGTACAAATAAGCAAAAATAGTCGAGTGCGGTAAGGTGATGAGAAGGATGATGAGAAGAGAATCAGAGTAATAAAGTAAGAGAAAGCGAATCTATTTTTTGTAGATCGTTATTAGAACCAAACGTGATTATGAAGATCTTTTCTGTACCAACGATAATCGAATATTAATCATGTTACAATAGTGACGAAACAGATCTGAAGATCAATTGATAGAGATACTATATTGTGAAATTAATTTAATAAAAAAATGATAAGATAGATATCAATTTTGCACAATAAATTTAAAAAATAGTGCTATTGTAACATGTCATGAAAGAAATTTTACACTAAGTAATTATGACACATTCTCTATAAATCATTATTTAATTTTTCTGTAATAGGTGAAATCGGAAACATCAAAAGTCTTTAATAAAGTATTGGCAAAATACAATCAATGAAAAATGACATGTCATTCAAGATAGGCTTTTTATTATATTTGTATTGATTTAGTTCTTATATTATGATAAATAGACGCCTGTAATCATTAATCAATTTCAAATTTTCATATCTCATTTCATATGAAGAATTTCAAGGGACAGATACAGATCTATTACTAAAAGAATGTTCGCGCACTTAGCCAGAAGAAGGTACTGCTCAGGAAGATTTGTCGAATTCTTTAACTGCAACTCTTAAAACCTTAGACTAATAAAATTCTCGACATTCAAAATCTATAAGGCTGCTCATTTTTGATATAAAGATACATTAATAATGAATTTTTGAGATGAGAACAAATTGTTATTGTTTGAGAGGGGAATGTATAAGTAAACATGAGTATATAACAGATTCTAGAGGAAGAAAGTTGCAATGATTTTGTCAGCAGTGATCAGGTATAAAACAACTGAAGATATAATGAAAACAGGGAAGAATTTTTGCTTAAATGGAGAAAACAATGTATTCATTTAAAAATTTGTAACATCTATCTGAAAAGGTCTATTATTTATCTAAAATCTATTCTATTTAATCAAATCGTCAACGAAATCGGCGTTAGAGTACAGATAAACCAGTTGATGAACCAATCCAATTGTCTAAGTTCAAAACCTCGTTAAATTTATTTTGCTCATTCAATCGTTTATTTATTAAAATGAAAATGAAATGATTATACACGTAGTAATGCTAATTTAATAATGATATCATAATTTCCTCATTATAACTCTAAGATAAATAAATTATTTAAGAAAAAAAAATTATCAATATGTTCCTAATATCGGGTACCTGATATACGCCTGATATTAGGAACATATCATGTACATATTGGGTACCCGATGTGTGTATGATTTATCAATTTTCGACCAGTGATATCAAAAAGGAATTCTGATTTTAGCAGATTATAATATAGGATGCAATAGATAATCAATTACTACTGAAAATTTTTAGCTGATCTATAGTTTTAGAATTACCATTCAGTATAGTGATTCTTTTGTATTTGACTAGTGCATCATAATACAAAGGAATTCAAGTGAAGATTTCACAGGCTACAAATACAAATGAATAAACATCAGTAGCCTTTGTATATTCTTCTCAACACTTCAAGAGCTATATAGAATAATACTCCAGAAATGTCATTCTTTTGATGATTTTTTATGTTTAATAATTAATTTACTCAAACCAAAATCTTATACAAATATATCTTAATATTTCTGGGATGAAAATCACTGTATACTATATCTAATTTATAAAATTTGCAAATAATATAATTTTTATCTCGATTTGATATTATTAAAATAATTATTTAATTACATCAGGAAATTTAATTAGGCGTAAATTTACGGAAATATCACATGACCTACAGAAATTTACGCCTAAAAAATTTAATTTTTTAACTTCAATTGAGATTTAGGTGACAGGGAGTAATTTTCTACTAAGATATTTCTAATATAGATCGAAAGCCCTGGTTCTTGGCTACAAGATGATATATATTTCACATTACTATGGCATCGATATTCGCGGAGAAATTCACGTTTAAATTCAAAACTCTGTGAAAATTTATGCCATAATTTTTCTGTAAATTTTCGTCATCTGCTGGAAATTTTTGTGACGTAATGAAAGATTTCCAACATAATTATGAAAATTTACAGAAAAATTACGGCATAAATTTTCACGAATGTTTGAATTTAAACGTGAATTTCTCCGCGAATATCGATGCTATAGTAATGAAACATATATCATCTTGTAGTCAAGAACCAGGACTTTCGATCTATCTTAAAAATATCTTAGTAGAAAATCGCTCCCTGTCACCTAAATCTCGGCTGAAGTTAAAAATTAAATTTTTTAGACGTAAATTTCCATAGGTCATGTGATATTTCTGTAAATTTACGCCTAATTAAATTTCCTGATGTACTAATCTATATAAAATAATAGATTTAATTGATAATCTTTTTTTACTTAATAATTTGAAAAAAAAATTTTAATTTGGTGGTTATGGTTTTTTTACATTGGGAATTTGTTTTCATGAAGTTATTTAATTTTACAACCAATAAAAATTCAAGTAATTTTAAGAAAATTTACTTTTTTTGATTTTTTTTTTAAGTTATTAATTTAAATAAAAAATATTCTTCATTTTTTAATTAATTTTTTTAATAAAATATGCTACAGTATAATTTAAAATATGTATACATTAATTTTGAGATTTTTAGCTACTACTTTTATTAAATAAAAAATGCTATTAGTATTTGTTTTCAACTTTTTTTAAAATTTTGATAATTGTTAATGTTGAGTAACTATTTATAAACTTTGAGTTATACAAAAGGTCTTTTTTATTAAAAAATTTGATGAAATAAACTCTATGTTTTTTCTTACTCACAATAACTTTATATAATTTATTTAGAAATTAAAGACTTATCTAAAGAGGAAACAGTAGAAAAACTCTTTCAAAGATCATTTTGCCAGAATTTTCAAGGAAGAGAAAAATATAAAAAACACTACAAATAAATAATACAAACAACAGCAAAACATGAACGAGGAAAAGCAGGGTAAATGTACACGTTCCAGATGAACCACAGCAAACTATGGAACTAAAAAGAAACATGAAACAATAAGTATTGGCAAGAAAGGTGGAGAAGCAGTTTGCAACACTTTAAGTATAGGAGGAATTATCCAGACAGGTTATAACCTTTTAAGCTCTGGAGCAGGAACTTTGAACAGT